ACACACACACACACACACACACAGAGTGCGAAGTGCAGCAGAGGATAGAGGTGCTCTGCAGACCAGCCTAACTTCCAGTTTATTACACAGATGGGCAGAGCAGGAGATTGTCAGTAATGACTAAGATTTGGAGATCAGAGCTAGTCACAATGATTTGGTCTTTGTAATTATCCCAGGGAATAAAAAGTGCTTTACCCAACTCCATTTTCTACTTATTCCTTGCTTTTCTGAGCAATGCCGTGTGAAACAAGGATGAGGATGATGATTCTAAATCACAATGATAACAGCAGTTCTAAGCATTTCTCCTACCAACAACCACATGTGCTAGGTACTGTTATTACCTCCATTGTAACGTGGAAGCCAGTCTGCTGGCTCTAAGGGAACCAGCAAAAGAGAAGAAAGCCCTTGCATAAAAACAAACAAACAAACAAACAAAAACTTGAAAGCCATTCTTCTGTCTCCTCCCTGGTGTTTTGGGGGGGGGGAAAATCACTGTGAAGCAAATCTACTGGGGGAGAGAAAGAACAAACATTAACTAACTTCAATTCAGGTATTCTCTTTCCTTTAATTTTCACAACAACTCTATTGGTTATGAACCAAAATCCCCACAAAGATGAAATCTTGAGGCTCTGTGAGATTAAGTGACAAAGCCAAGTCCACACAGTGGTAAGGAGCAGAGTCTGGGTTAAACTTGTACGAAGCCCACATCTGTGTTGTCCAGTTGCCACACTTTTCCCAACACACCATTCGTCACATGTAACTGAAGTCTAGCATTTTACTAGATGCTCAGATGCTCAGAAACTCCCATGCTCTAACATCAAATACTACATTGGCATGTCACCTCTGGCTCCTCAGTTTTCTTACCTAAAAGTAGGGAAAATTTAGCTAACTCTACCATGGCAGTGAAACCCAATGGACCACAGCGGATTGTGTCATTTCCTGCAGTTAGTGCTTTGTTACACGATGCAATTTCATCACAGAGCACAAACCATTCATCTGAATTGTGAGGTGCACTATGTGTTCCAAAATAGCCAGTTGATTTGATGATGGGGCATGAAAGTCATCATTTCTCTTCTC